AGAGAAAGGAAAAATTTAAATAGCATCATATGACCCCTTTAAAGCAATTTAAAATTGAATCGACTGTAAAAGAGTGATTGCTTGCCTCTCAACGCCTGGAGTTCTGAAACATGCGCATCGTTCCATAGCTGCCTATTACCTGGTCTCTCTTATGGCCTTTCATTCTGTGTTTATTCCTCCCTTGTTGCTCACTAACCCTTATTTTCCAAGCTGCCACTTACACAGACTCGATCTAATTAAACATAAAGGTTGCATCTCTATCAGAGACCTGTACCTCAGTGTCTAATGATTAGCTTTATTCAGAGCTTTATTGCCATTGCTTGCTCTTGCTTTTAACACTGTGCTCCAAGGCTTTTAGCATGTTTGCGATCACTGTGCATTTCCAGATAAGGTATTAAATTACCCAGTGTCCTCTTTGTGTACATATAATGAGAGAGAGTGCCCTTTCTGTGTTCTCTAGACGCGGTCAGATAGCAGTAATAGAACGGCTAGGGGGTGGGGGCGATGGTTTCCCATCAGCCCTCTGTTTTGTTATTTGGTGTCGTCATTCTGTTCGTATGCAATGTTCAGATTTGATTGTTCCCCTCTCATACGTCACTGCCAGTCTGGTATTTATCATTCGTCTCATTTTTGAGTAATTAGGGTTGTGGATAAAAAAAAAAAGATGGATTCTTCATGGAAACTTGGTTTTTAGGTATTCTTATGGGATCCAAAGGTTATGTTATGGCTAGACGGACAATCCTCGTGTAATACTGATTGTGATGGAACGACTGTCTTCACTCACATCAACGCTGCCCCAACTCTTCGATCGCCTCTCCTCAGAGAAAAGCACAATCACGATCCCTGTGATGAGGCATGCCTGACGTTAGTACTGCCTCGTCACTACTGCCTTTAAATGCAGAGCATGCCTCTCCACGAAAGACCAGTCTCTTCCCCAGTGCATGCACAATGGTTTTCCCGTAGGTCCAAGAAAGGAGCAGGTCGGGAATCCCATGGCACCAAAAGTAGAGTTGCCTTACCCACTCCTCTCCTCAAGAGACCGGTCTCAATGGTGCATGAGAGTGTCCCAATAGGTTAAAGAAGGAAGTAGGCAGGGAATCCCACACTACAAGATGTAGAGTTGCCACTCCAAGTCTCTGGGATAGAAGCACATTTTGCCGCCGACTGACCAGCTCACTTTGCTGTTGCCCCGGGGAAGCCAAGTTGTCACACTGTCAGAAGAAATGTGTAAAAATTGTACCTTGTACCTGAAATACCTTGTCACTGGGGTAGAAGCTTCAGGTACACCTTGTACCTGTACCTTATTTATGGGTGCATATATAAGGTACAAAGGAGTACCTTTGAGGGTCCTGCCCCAGTGACGAGCAGTTTTTTCTGAGGATATACGAAAGCCACCAACTTTCGAATTCCAGACTTGAAAGGCAGAGTCTGAAGACCACTGGACCCTCCCCGTGCCTGAACCTTTATTAACACCTCCAGACCTTCACAGTCCAGTTATTAAAATGTCCTTTCAGTTCATCCTCATTCTCCTGTAGACACTTGATTCCACCTTTTTTAATATTTGAAAATCATTTCAAATAAGCGTCTCTTCAGGCCTCTTTATCTGTCTTTGCGCACTCTGCCACCTGATGAGATGTTAGTGAGGTTTTATACCTTACCAAGAATCACACTTAGAGCACTGTATATCCTAAACTATAGTTTTTTCCAACCAAACTAGTGACACCCATGGAACTGACCAGGTGTTGTGATCTTATTCACAGACAGAAAGGCGTGATTTAAATTATTTGTGAAGTAACTACCCATAGTTTGCTTTTGTGATTATTGTTATACTTGTGATTTAAAAAAATATATATTGATAGACATACTGAATGAATGAACTTTTCTCTTGCTACAGAGCCCTGTCCATCACTTTTGCTGCAGAGACACATGGCTGAACTCCTTAGTCAAGACAAAGACATGGCTGCCAGTTTCCTTAATAGCGTCTTAAACCAGCTCAACTGGGCCTTCTCCGAATTCATCGGCATGATACAGGAGGTAAGAAAGTTTTGCCTTCCCACCACAGACCTTCTAATGTGTCAGACCAACAGAAAGTCCCACCTCAAACCTAGGCAGAAGCTGAAGTGCCAACACACTAAAACAAACAGAGCAATCAATAGCCGGGTTTCCATCCAAAGTTGCAAATTTAACTTATGCGCAAAATTGGAATATCGCATAAAACCTGTGCGAAGAAGCACCGTTTCCATCCAAAGAGTTAAAGAGAACAAAATCGTCACTTCCTTATCAACTGGCACAAAATATCACTAAGAAAAGTTGAAAAAGCCACTAAATATTATAATTTTCATATATAATAAATTACTTGCACCTCAGAGCAAGCAGACGAAACACAATAAATGTGGCCATTGTTTTCAGAGGTGAATGCTGCCATTTTGGAACGCAAGTCATGTAAGACAGTTCTGGGAGACGGTTATACAGAAATACTTTGATGACAGACTTTGCTTGGGCATTTAAGAATGACCATAACAATATTTCAGATGCTGTGCAACGAGATCAGTCTGCTGTTTATGCCGTCCCATAGCACAAAGTCACATTACTTTTTTTGATGCGCATGGAGGAATTTATTCGTAAAATGC